TGAGTGACTCTGAGTGACCCCTGAGTGACCCCTGAGTGACCCCTGAGTGACCCTGAGTGACCCCTGAGTGACCACTGACCCTCGGCCTTGAGCAGCAGCTGCAGCTCCCACAGGGTCACCTTGGGCATCTCCACCTGCGGCAAAAACCAGCCAAAATTAGCCCCCAAATTATCCCAAGAAACAGCCAAAATTCACCCCAACTGCCCAAAATTACTTAAAAATTATCCCCAACATTATCCCTAAAACAGGCAAAATCACCCCAAAATTACCCCAAAATTATACCCAAAAATGGCTAAAATTCACCCAAAATTCACCCCAAACCAGCCAAAATTCACCTCAACATTCACCCAAAATTATCCCCAAAAAGGTCAGAATTACCCAAAATTCATGCCCAAAACAGCCAGTTACCCCAAAATTCACCCTAAATAATCCTCAAAAGGGCCAGAATTACCCCAAAAATCAACAAAAATAACAAAAGCAGCTGAAGTTACTGCAAAATCAACCAAATTATCCCAGAATCAACCAAATTATCCCAAAATTCGCCTCCAAGTTCACCCAAAATGATCCCAAAATTCACCCCAAAATGGCCAAAATTCACCCAGAATTATCCCCAAACCGGTCAAAATTACCCCAAAATTCACCCAAAAAATTCCCCAAATCCCCCAAAATTTCCCAAAATTCTGATTTTCCCCTAAAAAAAACCCCCAAATATCCCCAAAAATTCCCCAAATTCCCCTAAAAATGACCAAAAATCCACCAAAACTGATCCCATATTTCCCAAAATTCCCCCCAAAATTATCCCAAAAGTCCCCAAAAATAACCCGAACTTTCCCCAAATTCTCCCAAATTCTTCCAAATTTTCCCAAGATTCCCCCAGGATTGTCCCAAAAATCCCCCCAAATTGCTAAAAACATCCCAAAACCCCCAAAATGACTCAAATTTTCCCATATTTTCCCAAAAATAAAAAAAAAACCCTAAAACTGTCCCAAAACCCCCAAAATTCTCCCTATAATGACCCATAATCCATCAAATTTTCCCAATTTTCCCCTAAATTATCCCCTAAAAACTTTCCAAAATTCCACCAAAAAATGACCTAAAATCCCCTGAAAATTCTGCGAAATTCCAAAAAGTGTCCCAAAAATCCCCCAAATTTCCCCAAAAATGACCCAAAACCCCCTAAAATTCCCCCAAATTCCCTCAAAAATGACCCCAAATCCCTCAATTTTCCCATTTTTTCCCAACATTGTCCCAAATTATCCCCAAATTCCCCTAAAAATGTCCCTAAAATCCCTGAAAATCCCCCACATTTTCCCCTAAAAAATGCAAAATTAAAAAAAAACCCTAAAAATGCCCAAAATTCCACAAAATTCCCCCCTAAAAGACCCCAAATCCCTCAATTTCCCCCCAAATTTCCCCAAACTGTCCCTAATTATCCTTAAAATTCCCTCTAAAAATGCCTCAAAATCCCTCAAAATTCTCTCAAATTTTCCCTAAAAATTGTCCCTCCAAAAAACCCCTAAAAATTACCCCAAATCCCCCAAAATTTCCCAAAGAAGTCCCAAATTTTCGTAAAATTCTGCAAAAATTGTCCCAAAAATCCTCCAAATTTCCTCAAAATCTCCCCAAATTTTCCCAAAATTCCCTCCAAAATGTCCCAAAAATTAAAAAATCCTGAAAATTCCCCCCAAAATCCCTCAAAATTTCCTAAATTTTACAAAAATCACCCAAAATGATCTGCAAAATTCCACCTAAAAATTACCCCAAACTCCCCAAAAGCTGTACCAAAAATTGTCCCAAAAATCCCTAAATTTCCCCAAATCCCCCTCAAACTGTCTCAAAATCCCCCAAGTTTTCCCAGAATTTCCTCAACCCCCCCCAAAATTATCTCCAAAATTCCCCCTAAAAGGAATCAAAATCCTCCAAAATAATCCCAAAACTCCTCAAGATTCCCCGAGTTCTCCCAAAATTCCCCCAAAATTGTCTGAAATTATCGTCCAATTCCCCTAAAAATGCCCCAATAATCCCCCAAATTTTCCTACAAGTCACTAAATTTTCCCCTAAAAATGTCTAAAAATCTCCAAAATCCCAAAAGATCCCCAAAATTCCCTAAAATTTGTCCCAAAACTCCCCACAAAAATGACCACAAATCCCCCAAAATTACCCAAATTCCCACAAATTCCCCCCAAATTGTCCCAAATTATCCCTAAATTGGCCTAAAAATGTCTCAAAATGCCACCAAATTATCCTAAAATTACCCCAAAAACTGTCCCAAAAATAAATAAATTCCAAAATTCCACCCAAAATGACCCCAAATCCCCCAAATTTCTCAAATTTTCCCCAATTCTTGTAGTGTAGTGGTTCTCACGTGCGCCTGACAAGCGAAAAGTCCCAGGTTCATAACCAGGCAGAGACACCATTGAGTCCTTGCGTGCAGCAGACAGAGACAAAGCCCCTGTGGTGCATGCCAGAGGTTTGTTAGGGAAGAGTTTGGGTCAGTTCTGCCTCGAGTACAGACAAACCCACTCGTGGGATTGTCTTTGCTCAGGGACCAGGTTGTACATGGTGGATAATGCAGAGAGATGGGACAACACGATGTGTACCTCAGGGAGATCTGATTGTGGGGTGAGAACCATATTGTGGGAGAGCAGAGCATTCCCCTGAATGCCCTGGCTCGCCCGAGACCCCTGCTTTGTCAGGGAACCCAGAATTTAGAAAACACTTGTATCTTTGACCCTAGCCCGTGGAAACATCTACCAACATTGAGAGAAAAACTACAAGCCACAAGAGTTTAATTAGTGTATAAATAAAGTCACTATAGGGGGAAAAAAGTAGAATTTAGAATTTTGGTAGGGGGTTTAAAGGGGAACAAGATGGAGGAATTTGGGTGTGTCCTGTCCTTCTTCTTCTTCTTCTTGTTCTCCATCTTTCACTATGGTGCTAGCATTTTCTTATTGGACCTTACTGGAAACACACAATTCAATATTAGTGATAGATATTGGCACAAATCTGTAAACATAGCATATGTAATTTTTAGTATATAAAGTTAGCACCATCCCACAGAGGGAGAACCTCGTGTTCCGAGCTGCCAGACAGACCTGCTGCAGTCAAGAGAAAACTTTGTAAAGATAAGAAAAAAATAAATAACCTTGAGAAGACCGAAATAAAAGCCTCCTGACTGCTTCTTCAACAATCCGAGCTGAGGAAAGAATTTTCCTAGGTCTTGGGGTGAAGTTGAGCCCGAGATCTGACACCATATGTAAATATTACTATTGAATACCACTGTCATTGTCTGTCTATAGCTTGTATATATATATGTATATCTTGTATATATATATATATATATGTATATTTGTATGTGTTTATAGAATTGGAATGTGTATCAGATATGGTAGTATGCTGGCAATATGGGGATGAAGGGTGGAATGTCTTGGGGTGACTGTATGGTGCCTGTATCCCCAAATCATCTGTTCTGTTGGTGTTGAATATTAAATTCTGCAACTTTAAGACTGGTTCCAGGAGTGAAGGGGGGGGAAAGAAGAAGTGCAGAGTTTGTTATCAGAGACTGCACTGCCTGCCCTGCATTTCCTGCTCACAGACTGTGTTGTCTGCGGTGGACAGCAAGAGAGAGCTCTCCTTTGCTCTTGGTTAGTTTTCTGGCTAGCTGAGGAAGAGAAGCTCCCTTAATTTGAGCAAAATTATGCCCAAAATTCCACCTAAAAATGATCCAAAATCCCCCTAGATTCCCCCCAAATTCTCCCAACATTCCCTAAAAATGTCCCAAAAACGTTGTAAAACCCCCCGAATTCCCTACCAATATTCCCCCTAAGAATGACCCAAAATCCCTCAAATGTTCCCGAATTTTCCCAGAATTGTCCCAAACTATCCCCAAAGGCACCAAAAAGTGTCCTAAAAAAATCCCTAAAAATCCCCCAAATTTTCCCAAAATCCTCACAAATTGTTCCTAGAATTGTCCCAAAACCCCTGAAAATTCCCCCAAAATGACCCCAAATCCCCCAAAATTCCCAAATCCTGCCCAAATTTTCCCAAATTGCTGCCAAATCCCCCAAAATCCCCCAAAATCCTAAATTTTCCCCCGTAATCCCTCAAATTTCTCCAAAATCCCTTACCCAGGGCCAGCTCCAGGCAGAGGGTGATGCCCTCGTGCAGGGGGCGGGGCAAGGCTGCACCCACATGGAACCGCTGCCCCCACCGCACCACCAGGGGGTGCCACCCGATTGGCCGAGGTGGCAGGGCGGAGCCTGACTGGAGCCAATAGGCCTGAGGGAAAAGGAGAGGGGGAGGGGCTTAGTCTGCAGCCATTTTGGAGAGCAAAATCCCCCCCAAATCCCCATGTTTATACCCCAAAATCCTAGTTTTTCAGCCAAAAACCTCTGGATTTTTTCCCAAAAGCCCAATTTTTTCCCCCAAACCCCTATCTCATCCACCAGTATTGATTGGTATGGATCATTATGGACCAGTATAAACCCCTATTGATTGGTATGGACCAGTATGGACCAGTATAAAAAAGTATGAACCAGTATAAACCAGTATACATCAGTATGGACCAGTATGGACTGGTATAGACCACTATAAACCAGTATGGAGTATATGAACCAGTATGGACCAGTATAAACTGGTATGGACTGGTATAGATGGACCAGTATAATACAGCATGGACCTCTGTGGAACGCTATGGACCGCTATAAACCAGTATGGACCGCTATAAACCAGTATGGACCAGAATAAATCAGTATGGACCAATATGGACAAGTATAAAGAAGTATGGACAAGTATGGGCTAGTATGGACCACTATGGACCTTTATGGACCAGTATGGAACAGCATGGACCAGTATAAACCTGTATGGGCCAGTATGGAAAAGTATGGACTGGTATAAACCAGTATGGATAAGTATGGACAGGAATAAATCAGTGTGGTCTAGAATGGCCTAGTATGGAACAGAATAGAACAGTATGGACCAGAATAGACCAATATGGACCATTTTGGACCCAGGGTGCTTCACGCATAGGATTCTTCCAGAGGACTCCAGAAAGCTGAGAGTCAGCTCTGGCTTCTCCATCTTCTGTGTCCTAAAGCTGTTTGAGAGAAGAAATTTAGGGTCGGCTCCACCAGCACAATCCCTGCTGGCCCAGGGCACAGTGCCAGGAAGGTCTCTGTGTACCGAGCCTTTGCTCCAGCCAAGAAAAGCTCCCAGCACAGGGTCACCTTTTCTGCTCAGCCACAACCTCCGAGTGCCCCACCAGCAGGAAATTGGTGGATCTGGGCAAGCATCCACCTCAACCAGGCCAGAACTCCCATCCAAAGCCGACCAGGCCAGAACTCCTGTCTGAAGCGAGTGGGGTCCACCGGTGTTTTCTTGCGACGGTCGTGAGGCAAACAAGGGGAAACTTCGGACCGTCTCTTACACCACCACACCAATGCTGGGGCTGTGAGCTCTCCAGCTGGGCCTACCCTGGGCTGCTGTGGCTCAGGGCCCAAAGCCTGGAGCTGCACCCTTGCCCTTGTCTCAAGAACAGCAGCCTCCTCCAGGTCCATGGCCCCAGCATGAGGAAGGGCTCTGAGACACAGGGGTGCTGGCAGGAGGGGCTGCTCTGGCCAGCTGGGGGTCTCTTAGAAATGTCCACACCCTTGTGCTCTCTCCAGCTGGCCAAGGACAGGAGCAGGGCTGAACGGTTCGTGTGGGACAGTCAGCCCTACCTGTAGAGCCCTCAGGCCCCCATGCGAGAGGCGGCCCTCAGGTTCATTGGTGAGTCCCAGTCCCCAGGGTCCCTCTTGGGGCAGCCTGGCCCCGTCCCCCCAGCCCTGGGGCTGCCATGGGAAGGGCCTTGGCCTCCCTGTGCCTGCCATGCTCACATAGGTGAGTGGCTTTGGCGCCTTGCCCAGTGCCACCCTGGGCTGCTGAGGGGGTCAGGCGGGGCCTGGGGCCACCCTGCTGGGATCATGCTGGGGAGCAGGAGCTGATGGAGCTCTGTGCCCAGGGCTGGCTGCGCGGCACCTGAGAGAGCAGAGTGAGGACACCCTGGCTCAGGTCCTCTTGGGTGAGTGGGGAGCCAGGGCTTGGGGGAGCCGAGGGGTCTCTGCACACACTGGGGCTCATCTGGCCTCTCTCTGTGTTGCAGAACTTGAAATACTGCAAGCAAGAGAGAAGGATGCCTCCATCTGTTGCCTGCCAGCTCAGACCATCTTTAACCTGAAATCTCCAAGGAAGCAGCAAAGATCAGGATTCTGCCTGCGCACACTGTGCTGCTGGTGCTGCTGAGCAGAGAGGGACCTTCACATAAGGAAGGAAGGGACACAAACTCAAACACCTGCTGACCCATGAGGTGTGGGAAGGATGCCCTGGCTTTCTAAGGTCCTTCTCAAAGTGCAGCTCAGCATTTCCATGACCGCTGACTCCACCATCGCCCTGACTGGTAGAGACCCATTCCCCACAGCCCCTGAGCATGGTGTGAGGTGGTCCAGAATAACCCCGGGGTCATGGCCTGTCCCCTCCTGGCTCCTGCTAAGAGGCTGAGCTGCCTGCCTTCAGCCCTTCTGCTCTTCTGCCTGCCTCCCCCAGGCTGGTCAAAATGAGGACAGAGGTGCTGCCTGTGGAGAGATCCAGATCCCAGTCCTGGGGAAGCTGCTGGGACATCTTTTCAAGTCATTAAAGACAGAGAAGGCTGCTTTATGGCTCTGGATGGCCTCTGCAGCCACTTCAAGTTCATCTGTCAGCAGAAAGGTAAGAGAAGCTGTGGTGGACTGCATCCCTGCACACAGCCATATGCCCCCAATGCATCTGCTCATCTTCCTGGGCCTTGCCATGGCCCCTTCTGCAGACATGGGGGTTCACGTGGGCTCTGCTTCTGTCACAGAATCTGAAATATTGCAGGCCAGAAAGAAGGATCCTGAGCACTTGGATCTGGGTATCTAAAATCGTTGGAGAGGAGTTAGTGTGGCTTGATCCAACTCAGCCACAGACCTTTTAGAACCACCTACAATTCTAGAAAGTTAATTACCTTCTATATATAATTTATGTAAGTAAACAATATATTTGGATTATATATATTAAAATTATAAGATATAAACATTATATAGTAAATTATATAAAAATTATATATACTATCTCATGTATATAAATTATATATGTTATGAATATATTATACATATTAGTTAGATATATATTGGGTTTTAAATAAAATAATCTATTTAAAAATCCATTATAGAAATTATAATGACTGCACCACACAGGTAGCTCTACCTCTGAGTATAGTGGAGAATTTTTGAAGCAATATGGAAACAATTATGTTAAAGAGAGATTTGGGAGGAAAAGCAAGAATTTTGGGCAAGAATTGTGAGGAGGAAAGGGTGGGAAAAATGAAGGGTCAAAAGGGCAGGAAACATGAGGGGACCA